TCTGTCAAGGGAAAATGACACTTAGTTAAAAATATAAAGTTCAGCTTCCACTCAAGCAATCTCTCCAGCTTTTGTCTTTGGTAGTCAAGACTTGCCATTTTGTCACAGAAATCAGTGTGGCAGTTCAGGGATTGTAGTAACCTCGTAACTATCCCTGCAGGCAATACCTTTCTCCCAGTACATTTTTTTAAAGACCTATTTTAAATTATACATGAAATGTGTGTCTGCATGTAGGTTTGTGCACAGAGGCGTGCAGGTGCCCACAGAGTCCAGCAGAGGGCATCAGATCCCCTGGAACTGCAGTTACAGATGGTTGTGAGTAGCCCAACACAGGTGCTCGGATCCAAACTCGAGCTCCCTGGTAAAGCAAGAACACACCCTTAACCAACTCTCCGGGACAGTACCATTACTTTGATTCAAACTAAAATGTAATGGTTTTATCTTTGGTTGTTTTTACAATATCACTTCAAACATCACCTCCCCCTCCCCCCAAAAAAGTGCAAATAGGAGCTGTATGAATTGCTGATCAGTGATGGAAGTTTTCTGGGTCCCTCCAGGGACCAGAGGCCATACTGTGAGAATAGCAGCTCCATGTTATAATATGACCCAGCCTAAATCCAAAACATTTTGTGCCATTGCTGACCTTGAAGAGTCCTTTGCCACACCCCTCAGAGTCCTTGAACTGCAAGTCCTAGCTTTGAAGGTTCACTAACAATCTAAGGACCACCAAACCAGACCCGGCCTGGACTGGTTAAGCCTTGGTTTGCCTCCCCTAGACACGGGTTGGGAAGGGGATGAGACCTGGCATCCAGAGCCCATGGCTTGTACCAGGCACGGTACACTGTCCAGTGACAGTTCTTACCGACTCTACTTGTCAGTGAAGAAACTGACGCTGGGGAGGAAGAACTCCACATAGAGCTGTCCAGCGTGAAAACTCACGCGGCACGTCATGTTTCTGTCTGTTCCCACACTCACTTCCTGCCTGTCTGATTTTTCCGCCTCCCAGCGCCCCAGTTGCTGAGGTTCTAGCACGCCTGCCTCACTGCCAAAATTTCCTGAAATGAGAAAGTTCCCAGCACTGGCTGGCCGCTTGAATCTCCCAGTGTCTGAGTTACTAATGGTCACAAATCACTCAGACTTTGGAAACTCTGAGCCACGTCAGTCCTTGGCACACACAGTTGATGAAACTGACAAGCTTTACTTCGGCTGTTGTTCATAGTTTTGACGACTAGCTCACGCAGGCTTTCCTCTGGGGAGCATTTTCATCTGAGCTGTAAGCTGGTCATCCCCGTCTGCGCTATACAGAGAGGTCGACATCCTCTGGGCCCTGTGGCGTCCCTGGAAGAGTGGCAGTCACACAGCCGTGTGGCAGGATACCAGCAGGATGAGACTCACATCCTAAGACTCAGCTTCAGGAAAGTTCAGCCCAAAATAAATCTGAAGTCAAAGTAAATAAAGCATTAGGAATATTTTGGGAGAGCAATTCCACAAAGCCGCGGGGAGGGGGAAGGGAGGCCTGCAAATAGGATTGTCCTCTGTCCTTGCTGTAGGTTCTGTCCTCTGATACATCTTGTTAAATGCTGGTTCCGTATCTGACATTTGTAAGGGCAGGAATGAGCCATGTTTAGGAAAATTACATTGTATCTTCAGAGGGAAGCGAGTCCCTTAAGCACTAGTTTGAGATAGGGCCGGGAGTTTGATGAGGTCTCAAGGCTATGATGATAAAAGCAGGCTGGAAGGAGCGTGTAATTTGTGCCAAGGGGCCTGGAGAGGAGCAAGCTACACTACTGAGTCACACAGGGCATGCTGGGTAGCCTTGGCTCCACAGAGCTAAAGGGCAGATGCCTGGAATCTTTATGATTCCACAGGATGGCAGGAGAAAACCCTCCTGCACAAGCGGCACAGAGAAGAGCTGTAGAGGTGGCTGAGGGGCAGGGTATGTGCTCTGGTTTGCAGGACTCTGGGTTCAATTGCCAGAATAAACAAAAACAAAAACAAGGCTGGAATGAGATAACACTCAAACATTAAGTGTTATCTGCATGTGCACTTGTTAGCAAATCAAGCAGATCTATTGTTGTGACTAATGCAATCCTGCATCCTTCATTCATCCAACCAAAATTTAATTAATGTCTATTATCCCCGCCAGCTAAGTACTGAGACAATTAGAATGATAAGAAACTGGCTTTTCCCTTAGGATGTTTTCAAGTTAGTGGGAGCCCTAAGGATAAAATAAAGCGATCAAACAGTCTGTTGGGGAAGGAGGTGCTGAGAAAGGCTTCCTCCTAACAGTGAAAATGACCTTAGCAGGGCCAGGGAGATGGTTCAGTGTATAAAGGCACTTGCGGCCTAGCCTAACTACCTAGCTTGATTTCTGGAATAGACATGATGGAAAAAAGAGAACCGACTCCTGGAAATGCTCTCTCACCTCCACATGAGTGCCAAGCTCACTGCACATAGGCCTCAACCCTAAACAAATAAGTAAACACATGAGTTAAGATGCTAAAAGAAAAAAAGTAAATTGACCTTATTGAAATCCCAGAGAGAAAAGAGCTGGGATTTTGACAGGTGAAGAGAGATGCCGACTATAACCCCCAATAACTTATTTCAGTCTGCATTTCTCGCTTCACTTAAATTCCTTAGAATTTCTGGATGTGGTGGTACACACCTTTACTGCCAGCACTTACAAGGCAGAGGTAGGTGGAGCTCTATGAGTTCGATGCCAGCCTGGTCTACATAGTGAATGCTAGGCTACCCAGGGCTACAGCGCGAGGCTGTGCCTCAAAACAAATCAAGACAAAAAATAAACAAACACCTCAGGGTGGACAGAACTCTAATGGTCTTGATATAAAGGCGAGAGGCAACAGCTTACTGGAGTTGACTGAGACAGCAGTCTGAAGCAAAGGTGGAAATCCGGACGGCACATGTTTAGGTTTGGAGACAGACCTGGGTTTGAATTCTGCTGTGGCGACTTGGACAAGTTCCTTAACATCTTAAGATGTCTGCATGAAAACTCAACCGTATGGCTACCCAAACAAATCCTGACTATTGATAATACCAGTTGACATGTCAGCTGTGGTGGGGGAAGCCTCACAAGGCCCCAACCCTAGACGAGGCACTACAGGCAATCAACGGCTGCTGAACGAATTGGCCATCTCCAGGGACAAGTGCACTGACAGGTTATCTAGGCCCAAGTGGTCTGCCTATGCACATTTCCCTACCAGCCACACTAAATTGACTCAGTAGGTTACACATTGTATGCAGATGTATGTGTGCCTATGAAACAATGACCAGAGAAGATGTTAGGAGCTTGAGAGTGGGTTGGGGCAGAGGAGTTGGAAGGGAAAGAGGGAGGAGAGAAAATAATGTAAATATAGTACTCAAGTATAAAATTCTCAAAAAAATAAAACACACACACACACACACACACACAATCGTACCTTGTGGATAGGAAGAGGTTATGAGAGAGAATGAAGCTATCAGAGACCTGGCACAGAACATCTTCTTTCTCTGAGATCAAGTAGGGCATCTCTCGTCCTTCAATTCCCCCAGTGTGTACTTCTCTGCACCCCTGAAGCCTTCATCCCAGCTGCTGCCACGTCTCACTGATGTTATGGGAGGACTCTGGATGTTTGCCCTGCTCCTCAACCAGCTCTGCTTGAATCCAGTCCTTCCATAACAACCAAAACTGCTTTGCAACCCACGGGGACTCATGTCTTTGTCCTGCTCCAGCCCCTCGCTTGGCTCCCTCATCTTCCCATGCATCTGAGTGGCTTCCAGATCTCTAGTATCCAGCCCTCGGATGCCTTTCAATGTATCCTGCTCCTGCTGTTCTCAGATTCCACAGTGACCTCTGGGACTTGGAAGGTCCTTTTTCTACCTGAGGTTTCACATCCCTGCTGACCCTAAGTTTCTCTTCATGCTAATGCCCCTTCCTTGCGATGCCTTCCAGACATGCTGGACTTCTCAGCTTCTTCTAGCAAACAAGCCATAATTCCCTCCCTTCCTCGCCACAAGCAGAGCCAGATTCAGTGCCCCATCTCATGACCTTCTCCTTGCATTTCCTCCATTAGCACCCACTATTGACTTCTACCTCTATGTACCCATCACAAAACAGAGACCTTTAGAAGCCCATACTATAACTTTTATCCATTGTCTGCTCTATTTGAATGAACGCACAGCTGGGCCCGGCGGTACTTGCTGTAACCTCAGCTACAGGGTGAAGCTGAAGCCAGGATAGCTTAATGAAACCTTGTCTCAAAATAAAAAGTGAGAAGGGGGTAAGGGTGCTACTTAGTAACAGAGTGACTGCCTAACGTGGAAGGCCCATATTTAGGGAGAATAGGAGGAGGAAAAGATGGACAGATGGATTAATGAATGACTTTCCCCCCAATTTTCCAAATGGTGAATGGAGGGACGAGATTCAAATTGAAGTCAAAGCAATGGTCAAACTCATCTACTCCCATCTTCCTGGCTGAAACCTAATTAAAACCTGAAGTAGATCCCCCAGCCCCAGAACAACTTCTCCCTCCCAGGTCTTCCCACACACATCCTCTATGACATCTCTGCTTAACTATGGTCCCCTTGGGGTCAGGAAATTATATCTCTCTTGAGGACTGAAGGACTCCTTCTATTGTACAAAATCATTACTGTTTGGGCAAATATCGGCCCCTCTGACTCAACTGACATCATTTTTTCATGACGCTGTGATAAGCAGGGGGCTTTCCTGGGTCCAGAACTCTGGCAAGAGGGGTTGAAGAGTGGGAAACACCTCAGTTCAACCCAAAGTTCCTGGAAGTTGGTGCAAATGTGTGTTTTTCTTTCTTCTTAGTCATTCAGATTCATTGAGCTAACCTTCATTCTTTTGTCAATATTTGTGAACTGAAAATACGACAAACTGTCCCCTGTACGGTTCAAAGTCTAGACATTGACTGATGACCAGGAACAAAATTCCCTGGGAACAAAAACCACAGATTTCAAAACTGGCTCTAGAGTAATGGGTTTCTGGCTTTGGAGAGCTCTGCCTATGACTTGAAGAGTACTCTGTCAGCTGAGGAGAGATCTGGCGCTTAGCGCCTTGTGGTCCCAAGTGATGAAGAAGCTTGAACGCCACAATGAGCAGTAATAATGCCTTGTGTTGAGGGCACAGCTAACGGGTCCTCTCCAATCCAGAGGACTAAGAATTCTACAGCCAGTTACCAGTGTTTTAAAACTATCAACAGAGAAGTTTGAAGAGCTGCCACTACCGACAAGGGGCCCAGCGTCAGAGATGTATTCTCATCGAGGTCTCTTTGTTTTGTTGTCCGGAACCCTTAACCCCACCCCAGGGTCCAGCCACTACTGCCTTTCCCTGAGTAACGAAAAATCCCTTGTCCCCGACACCTCTGATCTTTTCTCTAGGGCAACCGTCTTGGAATAAGCAACTGCAGTCACACCCATTTTGTCCTTGCAGCTGGCAATATTCCTGCTTCCTCTCGCTGATATTCAGGTCTCTCTCAACCCTTGCTCTGGAGGTAAGCCAAGTTCACCGAGTCCACTGATGTCCTTGGCTCTGCTACAGGGATTGGAATTCTGCTTTTGCATGCTGTTGGTCACTGGGATGAGGTGGGTGTGAGGAGAGGCCATCAGATGAGCTCCAGCCTGACTCTTCAGGCTGCGTGTGGGCAGTGATGCCCTTGCTATCATTCACCCAACCGTGTGAGAAACAGTGGCTTGCGTGCCTGTTGGCATCTGTGTCGTGACCTGGAGGGTCACTGGGGTGAGGAATGGAACATGTCTGCCTTTAGGAGGAGGACAGAGCAAGAGAATCCGAGACTCGTGGCAGGAGCCTCAAGGGCCCAACATCTGAAGCCCGCCCACCTTCCAAGCTCATGGCTATGGGGAGCCAATAAACTCTCTTTACTGCACAAGCCAGCGTGGGTTAGTTTGCTGTAACTCATCACAGAAGGCCTCCTGGGTGACTCAAATGCCTCCCGGAGCTCTGGGAATGGCATCCAGACGCCTACCTTGCTATTAAATGCCCACTAAACTCTAAGATCGGTGAGCGCTTTGGGGCCAGGGCTGGGTTTTCATTGGCCCTGGGAGTAGCTGGCCCCTGCTAGCCCTCACTCTAGCACACAGCAGGACTCCGAATTTTTGTTTCGAACAAGTAATCCCGGTCTCCTTCTAGCACGTTTTCTGTCTCCCCAAGGCAGGGGAGTGGGAGGCTAAGGTCCCCTGCATCTTCTGCCAGAGCCGCTTCTGCGCATGCGCTGTATTTTGCTAAACACCAACCTTCTTGTACAAACAACTTCCTATCCTCACAGACGCCATCATCAGGGAAAGACCAGCAGGTGTAAAAATGAGGCTCTCTGTATCCAAAAGAGTGCCTGACACTCAGGCTCCCAAGAAGGACAATGGCCAGAAAGGCCCAAGGTGCAGAACATTGTGAGCCCTCACAGTAAAAAGCCTGGAGAAGTTGGGATCATCCATGTATTTGGAGAGGGCTTCCAAGCCATTGTGATTGTACCATGAGTAGGGAGGATGCCCATGTGGGTCTGCTTATTCGGCCATATCCTCCTTGCTGTCTTCAGCTCCTCCCACAGCCCCTTCTACCTGATCCGTCCTCGCTCTACACTCAACCAACTTTTTCTTACTCCTCTGCAAAAGTTGAAATCTCATTTATTTTTCTCTTCACCCCTCTCCAACATATGAGCTCTCTGTGAAAGCAGGGCTTTCATCTCATTTATCACCATTTGTTTAGAATCACATGAGGCGGGAGAGATGGCTCTTTAGTTAAGAGCAGGTAGTGAGTGCCCTTGCAGAGGACCCGGATTTGGCAACTCCTACTCCAGGGGATCCAATATCCTCTTCCAACCTCAGTGAGCACTGCATTCATGCATGCATGTGTGCGCATGCACACACACACACACACATACAATCAAAAGACACATCCCATATTTTGAGTGCCTCAGTATCCTTAATGAAGGATAATTTAAATGCAACCCAAGCAAGCTTCCCCTCTCTTGCAGACCCGTTTCCCTCTCCCACAACCAGCTTTCTGCCATAGCATTCAGGTTATTTCCTCCATTGTCCCCATCAAAACAAAAGGCTCCAATGTGTTTGTTTGTGGTTACTTGTTGGTTGTTAGCAGAATATAAGTCTGTCCTTTCCCTGTTCAGTCTCCAGGGCGACCGACTGCTTCCAGGCTGCAAATGGGTGCTGGAATAAGGACGTGGGATTGAAGCTCCCAGGCTCTGGAAACAGTGGATGGGAGGAGAGACGGAATCTTTGTGACACAGAGAAAGTCTGCCAGGTAAATGAGGTCACTTCAGCAGGGGGAAGCAGAGCTTACAGTCTGGGAGCTAGTCAGAACTAGCTGCCTGACAGAGTCCATGTCTGCCTTGAGTCCCTGACTCCTTCTCCGGTTGCCATTTTTCTGCCCTGCGCAGCTTCCCGATAATGTCCCTGCTTATTTTTAACGCACCGGCAGCATCCCTGTCCAAATCGACCGGGTATTTGAGAAGCCGGCACAGAACCTCCAGGTCTGTTTGCCTTCTCAATGCTTCAATTATGCCGTTTAATGAGGGCCCAGCAGCCAAGCCCAGCCTGACATTTTAAAAGATTCCCAGTGCCTTTGTGTTGCAGCAGGCCTCTGGCTTCTTTCTCTCAATTATTACCTTAACCATGCCCCGGAGACCCAAGGAGACCGTTTATTTTGACTGGTAGATTGTTAAACTACAGGAGGCAGGCCAGAGCCAGCGCCAGGCTGTGATTTCCATTGCTCCACAGGCCAAAGCCTTGGTGCTGAGAATAGCCAAGGCCACTTCCTGCTGGAGAAGGAAATGGCAGTTTCCTCAGCTCCCGGAAATGTGGCTTCCTCTCTGGTGCCTAGCTCAGTGTTCACCCATCAGACAGTCTCTTCCCACCCCAAACCCCCGGGGACCGGCTCCAGCCTGGAGAAGACATCCTGTTTCCCTGAGGAAGTGGCCCAGATTGGGGTGGCCACCAGGGCGTTGGAGTGGGCGTGAGTGGGTAGCAGGGCAGGAAAGAGCTGACAAGGAGCGATGCTAATAATATTGTGTGTTAAGAAGGAGGCACACCCGTCCCTTTGTCCAGACCCCAGAGACCTCCGCAAACCTGCCAAAACTTCCCACGGCCTTTGAAGGCCAAGTCCTCCCGATACTGTTTTTGCTTTCTTCATCTATCTGTGCTAACTGTGCATCTTTGTGGAATATAGTGTGACTGCGCCTGTTTGGTGCATGCATGCCAGGTGTGATGGATGAATCCAGACAATTACAATCTCCTCTTTGAAAAGCTACCATTTTCTTGTGGTTGAAGCTTACAAAACCCTCTCTTCTGTATTTTTAAATCGACCAGTATAAGATGTTGTAAACTGAGTCACCCTGGTGCGCTGTGAAACACTAGAATTTATTCTTTCTAAGTAGACTTCCAGTACCCTGCCATCTCTTCTTTCAACAATGTTTCTGACTCTCCTAACAGTCACCCAATCCAAAAATGCGATTCCAGGGCCTGGAAAGTTGGCTCCATGGTTGGTTCCCAGCACTCACATGGTGGCTCACAACCTGCTGTAGCTCCAATACCAGGGGATCTGATGCCCTCTTCCTACCTCCATGGGTGTCAGGCACTCACATGGTGTACAGACATATATGCAGGCAAAGCACTCATACGTATTAAAATACCAGTTATTTAGTTAAGAAAAATCAGTCTGTTTCTTATGCTCATTCTATGGATTTCGGGAATTAAGAACAGGCAGAAGGCTGTGCCACAGCCCAGTGGTAGGGCACGGATCTAGCATGAACAAGCCCTGGGTTCAAACAGAAGAGAGGAGGGAAAGGAAGAAGGATGGGAAGATGGGAGGATGGGGGGATAGAAGGATGGGTTGCTTGACACTGACACTGATTGTCACAGGACAGAGGCAAGCTCCTCTGGTTCAACTCTATTCTATAACATATACTCTTTCTTTCTCTCTGCCTCTCTCTCTCTCTCTCTCTCTACAGAGAGAGAGAGAGAGAGAGAGAGAGAGAGAGAGAGAGAGAGAGAGAGAGCAAAAACAAATCACACTATACCCCACAAAAAGATACAATTAGTGACCTGGTAGGTGGGTTGTTAACCTCTCTGAACCTCAGCTTTTCTGGGAAGAATGGTGTGGCCGCCCCCTTAAGACCGCTAGGCGATTCCATGAGCCAGACCCCTCAGAGCAGACGAGGCACTTGCACATAGTCCATGATTGTTTTCCTCTGCCCTTTCAGAAGGGGCGTGCCTTCCCCTGCTTCTTGAGGAATAATAGTCGCCCTTCTCTGAAGCCTTGGCACCGGCCAGCACCCTTGGCCTTGGAATTTCAGCCTCTGTGGAGATGGGCCTCAGGAGGGCACTTCTCTGAATGTTCTCCTTGTGGGAAATTTGCTTAAATAAAAGCGCAACCCAGCTGTCGTTTTATTATAATTTTATATGAACTACTTGTCAAGCGATGTTTATGGCATCATCTCATTTTTAATTATTTTTTATATTTTAAAATAGTTTAGACTTAAAGAAGAAAATTACAAGGGTAGTAAAAAATTCACAGATAGTTCAAAATCCACTTTTCCTAGACATTGACAATACACAGTAATGTGCCATGTGTCACAGTTAATGAACAAATGCTGGTATGTTTTTATTAACTGAAGTCCACACTTTCTCCAGCCATTGTTAATTTTTAATCTAATTATCATTTTTCTGTTCCAGGATACCATTATAATATCACCTTGCATTCATTTGTTCTGTCCCTCGCCTCCAGTTAACCTGACCATTACTCAAGTTATCCTTGGCTTTTTTATAATTTTGTTTTTGTTTTGTTTGTTTTGTTTTGTTTTTCCAGACAGGGTTTCTCTGTGTATCAGCCCTGTCTGTCCTGGAACTAGCTCTTATACATCAGGCTGGCCTCGAACTCACAGAGATCCACCCGTCTCTTCCTCCCGAGTGCTGGGATTAAAGACATGCACCCCCATCACCCAGCCCTTTTTATGAATTTTACAGAGTACTGGTCACATATGTTGCAGACTGTCACTTAATTAGACATAGTCTGATGTCTTCACATGATGAGACAGGCTGGGGTCTGGGGCTTGAAGGAGGGGCATTTCCACAGACGTGTCACTGGATCTCACATATCAAGAGTGATGCTGTCACCCACTTGAGATCCCACCACTTGAGAGTCTGAGGCAGGAGGATCACAGCGAGTTGGAAGCCAGCCTGTGCTATATACTGAGATCACAGTCAGAAAAAAGTATATACTATCACCAGGCATGGTGGCACGTGTCTGAAATCCTCAGGACACAGAAGGCTCAGGTAGAAAGAGTAGAGGTTTGAGTCCACCTAGGCTGTACAGAGACCCTGCCTTTCAAAAAGAAAAGACTGTACACAGTCCACATTACATTCCAGCACCTTGGGGGCAGAAAAGCTACAAATCGCTTGAAATTTGATTGCAAGAAAATGTGTGTGTGTGTATATATATATATATATATATATATATATATATATATATATATATATCCCCTTACTGGTTTATTCTGCCTGTTATTGAATTATATTAATATTTAAACAAAGGAGTAATTTTCATATTTTGTATTATAATTCAGTGCTACTCCATGTTGTTCTCCAAATTACTCCAGCTTTAGCCATTGATATCCCCTTCTGCATTGATTTGACATACTCCTTATAGTTTTTTGTCATATATATGTGTGTTTATATACATATATGTATATATATGTATGTATACACAAACACATATATACACATATCCTAGGGTCTCCAGTGCAACAAGGCTCCCCCCTTAAAGCTTTACACACTCCCCACTCAGGAATACCCTGAAGAAAATCTGACCCTGCACATTGCCTGACTTTGATAGCTTTTCTCATGCCTCTTACATTCTACAGGCCTGCAACACCAGCACTCGGCAGACAGCATCAAGTTCCACTGTTAGCATGTGGTGTAGCCTGGCTCCTGTGGGCCATGACTGCCATAGCTTTTGGGTATTTAGATGGCTGGAGATGGAAAAACATTTTCTAGGCAATCCCTTCCCAACAGGTCACCACTTCAGTTGGCATATTATACCCAAGAGCCTTTGGTGGGAGAAGGGTCTTTTTGTCTTCATACAAAGCACTGGGATTCTCTGTAATGACACTACTCTCCTTAGCAACTACAGACATTTTATCTTCACTTGCATTGTCTAACTTCAGTCACTTTCAGGTTTCCTTCTTCACCAAACAGCATGATTTTTAATTTTCTCCATCCTGCTCTTTGCTCTCTCTTCTTACTATAAAGCTGACTAAATGTAATGAATAACAACCATGCCACAGCCTACACATTGTGCTATCTTGACTTTCTCAACATTTCTGTTCTTCAAACTCCCAACAGAAGGGCATACTCATTTCTGCTAATAACACCCCAGATCTTCTCTAGCCTGCATCTCCAAACTTCCCACAATCTAGTTCCCATGCTTAAACACAGCAACAGAACACTTCTCTGAAGCCAGTTCTCTGTATCAGTTCCTTTATCATTGCTCTGAGAAGATACCTGACAAGACCGACTGAATGTGTGAAGGATTTAATAGATACTTAAGGTATAAAGGACTGATTTTGGCTCAGTTTCAGAGCAATCCACTACAGTGAGGAAGGCTGTATCACAGAGAAGCCGTTCAATCTATGCCTGTAGGAGATTGTGGGAGCTCTCATATGCTGCAGACCAAAAGACAGAAAAGAGGCCAGAATGAGGGGCAGGTTATCCTTCAAAGACCTATTCCTAGTAACCTACTCTGCCAGCCAGAATATCAAAAGATTCAATGTATTATCACAAGCAGAGAGCAGCCGTCCAAACATGAGCCTGTGCTGGACTTTCCAGAGTGAAGCCAGAACAAGGACTTGAACAGAACTCACTTTGCCTTTCATTCCATAGATTTCATTCATCAGCAAAATTACTTATGTCATCAATGTGTTCCTCTAGTCCTTTCACTGCGATGTTTACATACATTGAAATAATCCTGTTTGTGGGGTCTGGAGAGATGACTCAGCAGCTAAGAGCACTGGTTGCTCTTCTGGAGGAACCAGGGTGGGCTCCTAGCACACACAAGGCAGCTCACATCCATCCCTAACTCCAGTTACAGGGGATGCCCTCTTCTGATCTCTGCGGGTCCAGGCAAATACTTGACTCGTGCAGGCAAAACATTCATACACACAACATAAATTTTTTTTTTTTAAAAAAGTCTTAAGAGTTATATTGTTTTGCCACATTGTATAATAAATCTTTGGTCTTTTGGATGACTTTTAAAACGTGCTACTTTAGCTCTGTCCTACTTTGTTTAATAAACAAACGCATGCCATCATGTACACAACTTACAGCTATACACAATCATTTTGCCACTCTAAAATACCTACGATCCAATCTTCTGGACCCCTGGAAACCGCTGACTCTTTTGCTCTCTCTGTGGTGTTTCTAGACTAGCACAGAGGTGGAAGTTGGAAGTAGTCTGTGGCCATTTCAGACGACAACCCTTTGCTTAGCAAAACGTACCGTAATCTAACTTTGTCTTTTCATCTCTTGATAGTTCCCTCGTTTTTAAAAACCATAAAATCTCATTGTACACACGTCACAATTTGTCTAGTTGTTTGCTTGTTGCAAGACGTTTTGTGGACGTTTTCCCATGTAAAGTATAAAAGCAAAATGCTGCAGACACTAGTATGTAGTTCAGGCAGGTTTTAAACCAGCTAAGACATATCTGTAAATACAATTGCTATCCCCACAGTGAGAGTATATTTAAAGTAAATAGTAAGAAACAACCATCCTTTTCTTCTTAGCTTATCAGGGGCCAGCCTCGACAAAAATACCCTCTTCCAGAGTGGAGGCGTGGGAATTTAGAAATATAGTAAAGAATACAATGATGCGAATGAAAATAATAAACCGCAGAAACATATAGGATAGTATTGGGAGGGAATTTCAGTGAGTACTGAAAATTTGCCTGTGTTTAATTTCCAACAGCTTATTATACCCGATTTCAAAAGTAGGAGTGGAACAAAAGGACTGCATTAACACACAGACTGAAAGTCATGGGGTACATTCATCGCTCACACCCCAGACCAGACACTCTGTAGGCAAGCCACTCCCTGGGTGGAATCCCAAGTTATTTCCACAAAGGGAAGTGAAACTTAGTTGGATCCTTAGACTTTTGCTTTAGGTAGGAACCAACTACTTCCCTATTTCAGGAGCACGAGGTCTGGCAACTAGGCACACCTGTTGATGACAGTCTTGAGAAAGCAGAGCTCCGCACAGTTGCAAGGCACCACACAGTCGTGATAACTTAACTCCCTGATGACAAACCATGTTGTTCCTCTACCCACAGAAGTATATGCCTGGCTTATATCTAGCTGATAAAGGGTCTATTTAGATTAAATTGTTTTCTTATCATTGAGTTCACAAGTTCTTTGTCTACATTGGATACAACTCCTTTATCAGCATGTGTTTTGTAAATATTTTCCCTTGCCCTGTGCCTAGTCTTCTGGCCATCTTAATAGCAACTTTCAGAGAGCAGGTTTAGTGGTAGCAAGCAATGTTCTTCCCCTGGTGATGCCTTTGATGAACCTAATAGCTCATCACTAGACCTTGAGTGGCTCGAAATACACTCTCTTCTGTGATCACTGTAGCAGTGCTCTTGGGGACAGGATGCTATTCCCATTTTATAGGAGAAAGTTGGCTACCACATTTCTTTTTTCTTTCGAGTACACACAAAAGGCACCAAAAGAAAATAGGTAGTCAACAGTAGCCCAAGACAGAGCCTTTATATCCAAGAGCATCTGACTGTCTCTCTTCCTCCATAGCTGCATTGGCTGTGATATGAATATCATGTCATCATTCTGTGTACACATTCAGTCATCCCAGCAGCCAAATACTGTCATTGTGCCTCCACCACCAGTATTGTTACCATTACCATCACACCATCACCATTTCCCCCAGCAACCGCCTCTATCACCACCAGAACACACACAGACACACACACACACACACCAACGTCACTACTGCTCTGATAGAGCAGGTGCTTCACTAGCGAATGTCATGGTTTTTGATTGATTGATGTTCACCTAGCACAGTACCATGCTTCACCCAGAACCTTTCCACCTCAGTTTGGGAAGCAAAGTAGACTGACCGCTAGGAAGGTCAAACTTAAGTGCCTCACCAATGTCACACAGCTAGCAAATGCCAGGATTAGTCTGGAATGAGAGACTCTGTAGCCAGTGATCCAGAGCGATCCAAGGGCTCAGTGTATGTGCCAGGGCCCTTGGCAAGGGCAGCCCCATGCTCAGGAGGCTGATGTCATTCCCTTTTAAAGAGACACCCTTCTCCTACTTCCCCGGCAACTTAACCTTCCCCCAACTTCACAGACTCAGCACCCTACAATATAATTTAGAACCTGGAGGTGTCCATCGCTAAAGCCTATGAGCATTAGAAGGAACCACTCTATGGAGCATAAAATCCTGGGGAAAATAATCTCTATTCCTTTAAGTGACAAAACACTGTCTATATCCAAACCATTTTACTAAAATAACAATGCACTCCATGACAGGTACTGGGAGGATTTATAATCATTCCAAATGGAGCCACGCAGAAGTGGCTCCCTGGCTGTGAAGCCACTGATTTCCTGGTGCAGTCTGTTCCATGGCGAGGGCCAGGGAGGCCACAGCTCTGCAAGCTCAGCTTCCTGGAAGAAAGAGGTCTTTCTCTGAGGGATGGCCTCTACCCTCCAGTGCCAGCACTGGGCTGGCTCCTGGGGATGGAATGAGAGCTGCAGACATCTCAGAGAGCTGCTTTCACATCCCTGGGTGGGGAAAAAAAAAGAAGCCCCCTGTTCCCTGCACACAAGCAATAAACTTCACCACACGTCAAACTTGTACCTACCCCCATCAACTCCAGCTTCCTCTTAGGGGATTCAGAGGCTTTAGAAGTATTCCGTCCCCCTGTCACTTCCCTGGAGTCCAAAACCTAAATTTAAGTTCTATTGAACTACTGACTAACTCTGTGACCTTGCTTGACCCCTGAGTGACTTCCTTTCTGTGTGTAAACCAGAAGTAATAGGATTGTAGGGGGGTTGGGCAGGATGCCCCCCCACACCCACCCTCAGTGTCATTGAAAGAGATTGGTATTCCAGCAAGAGAAACGACAGAGAGATGACTGATCCATAGCATCATGGCATCATGGCTTACTGCAAGGCCTTTGGATCCTTAGGGTAATGTTTCCTCTCAGGTGCTTGTAAAGCCCTCAACACAGGCACACACTCAATGGCCATGCCCTTTCCTTCCCTTTTCTTGCAAGGGCTTCAAACTCCCCTCCTACTTTTGCACGCCTCAGTGCTTAAGGCCAGGAGCTTTGTCCCACTTCCTATCTGAGCCCAGAACATCAACACATCTGCAGAGACAGAAGCTTCAAGCTTCGGGGTGACTGCTGCAATTTCCATTTCAGAGACCCCTAAGCAGGGCTCGGAGGCCCACTCTTACCAGGGAGAGTTCGGAGGATTAATCCGTTCTCCTAGAGAGGCCAGGCAACCCGTGTAACTAAATCTCCCTGTTGGATTATTCCAGAGCCCAGAGATCACCCACAAGGCTGAACAGACACAGCAGGATGTGGCACTTTCCAGGCCTTGGTCCAACAAAGGATGTGAGAGGATGTGAGAGTAGACGGCCCACGGGTCCATGGAATCCGTCCTTCCCTCCTGCTCTGCACTATTTGCAGAAGCACTGAGCTCTCTTGGAAAGAACTTGGGTCTTAAAAGTTGGGTTGTTCCCAAATTGTGTTGAAATGGCCTTGGGCAAGTCATTTCACTTCTCTGGGCCTCAGTTTCTTCAAAAGAGAAATAGGGTTCCTTGTATGGATCACACACAGTTATGAAGTATCTGAGATGAACATATATGTATATATAGTACACATATATACATATATATTTTTAAAGAGTTATGTCCTCAAAGATCCTGTACATGACACACTATTGTGACCATACTGACTGGGATGAAGGGCAGGCTCAAATGTCAGGTCAAGCCCGTGGTGTTTTCTCCCACCTCGGTGTTCCACAGCGCCTTGCTTGCTTCGTGTTAGCATCACCTCACAACTTCCTCTCAATAACTCAACTGTGGCTTCTCAGAAACGGGGCTGCTAATCTCCCACCTCTGTGTTCCTAGAGATGGGTATCAGCCCTAGACCACTCTGCAGCTGGGGTGCCCTCTGTGATGATTAACTAGGAAGTCCACCAGTGTGTCTCACTGCCTCCCTTCCGCCTTAGTCATTTGCTTGGCAGAGAGCAGTTCCGCTGCTGCGTGCATCTCCCAGGGTCTCAGGGTCCCAGGGTCCCAGGCTCCCATGGTGGGTGTTCAATGAGCGCACACAGAAAGTGAGAACACGGGCTGGAAAGGGGAAGAGTGAAACAGAACTGCCCCAACAGCAGGCTGTTCTACCCCATCAACCACGGGGCAGGAAGATCTCCTACAACCGCCCAACCCTGCCGCGTGTTTCAGTCCGCTTTCTGTTGTCTCAGCAGAGTGGCACAGGCGGTTTAGTGTATAAATAAGAGATATTGATATGGTTCATGGTTCTGGGAGGTAGATCATGGGATTCCATGGTTTCCAGCTAAGCTGTCCCCACAGCCTCGTATTTTGGGAGCTTGATCCTTAGCTTGCAATGCTATTTTGAAGACACGAGAGGGGGTGGCACCTGAATGGCAGAGCAGGTCACTAGGAGTGGGCTTGCGAGGTCATACCCGCTTCTTGTTCCAGCCTGGGCACTCCACCTGCTCGTCTGTGCCAGGTGAGGAGCCTCCCACACATGGCTCTGCCACCGTGCCTTCCCTACTATGATGAATTAAAATCCCTCTGAAGCCATGAGCCGAAATGAAACTCACCTCCTTGGGCTGTTTCTTTGCGGTACTTTGTCCCGGCCACAAGAAGATTTGCTGTGAAAGGAGACGAAGACACTGTGACTTCTTCATTAAGACTGATGAGAAGGATCCACGTCCCCTTACTTTGTTCTTTGACACAGTCTGCTGTCTCGAGCTTCTGTCTTCGCCCCAGCTCTTCTCTCTCACCTGAAATGATTCCCAGCCTCCAAATCATAGCCTCACCCTCAGTGATTCCAACCACACTGTGCTTGCTGTGACCGGCCAACCAAGTTGCCTAATTTTTCAAAATGCAGGTAAAGTGTCACCTCACTAACAAAAGAGTTTCCAGCATGCATGTGTGCAGAGCAGATTCAAGAACCGGAGCCCTAGCGGCAAGCCTAGATTCCAGCATCGACCTTCTGACCTCAGGAAAGTCCCCTTTCATCTCTTAGCCTGTTTGCTCAGCTGTAAAATGGAAATGACTACACCTTCTTGGGGTGGGGAGGGTGAGAAGTGTGTTGGTTAACGAATACAAATACCACGGCAGAGCACTGGACACGCAAAACCAGTGGCACAGCTGCACTGGGTAGGGAGTATTAGAGAGAGGTCCCCTCCCACCAAGGTACTCGAAGCTCACTTGTATAGCTGCCATTTTACCTCAGTGTCTTCGCATCTGTGTATTACCTGTGGCCTCACTAAGAATGGGGACAGCTTGCAGGCAGGAACTCTCTGTATCGATTCCATTGGCCAGTTTGGTGTGTGAGCGAATGAATCGGTGAATGGATGGATACACAGAGAGCGAGTCGGTAGCCTGGGATCAAGCCACAGGGGCAGAAGTATTTCTTCTGAACCTCACAGGCCTGCCTCCATTTATCCTAATACCATGGAGTCTCACTTTATTCTCCAGATGAACCCATGCATTATAGAAGGAAAAAAATATGTGTTTTTCATTATGAGAGAAGACTGGGAGTCTACATTGCTATGGCTATAGTTATGCCTGAGGTATGACCTTAGGCAGTTGTTTCCCAACCTAATGTGAGGTCTGGTTCTGTTTCTCTTAAGATGCTTGTAGCTGCAAGAAGGAAAAGCAGTCATCGGTAACAATAGTCCATCAACAACAAGTGGCGCAACCCGAGGGCCCTGCACAGCTACTACAATGCCTGAAAGACGTCAGGGCCATAAGCCAGTGTGTACGAGTCTGACGATGTAAAACTGTTTCCCTTAGCTCCAAATTGCACACTCTCACTCAGCAATGACCACAGGCAAGAGGAGGGGAGTGTTTGCTTAGTGAAACTATTAAGAAAAGAGTAAGAAAAACTTTCCCAGATTTGACTGTGTGCCTCTTACCTAAACAAATCAGGAAAAGAGAAAGCACACATGCATGCGTGCCTTGAGATGGCCTCAAGGTGTAACACAGATGTGGGCTCTCCACAGCCCATTCACCTCTTAGTATAATAAGCTGAGACTAAGTCTAAGGTCTACCCATCTCCAGCACCCGTCTGGTCCCCCAGGCCACACGGTTCCTATGGAATTGAGGAGGGGTACGACTGCTGAGGGACCTGCCAGAAGCCTTAGCCAGGAAGCAGGCACATCTTCCTAGCCCATCCATTCTGGAGCCTGGGTTCCCCAATTCACTGTATGGTCTGATAAACAAGCAGAAACCAGTTACAGTAACCTATAGCAGGTGTGGAGGCTCACACCTGTGATCCAAAGACTGGAATGGCAGAGACAGGGGGTTGGAGTTTTAGGCCATAGTAAGACCCTGAAAGGAGGGACAGAGAGAGGAAGAAAGGGACTGAAAGAGGGAAGGAGAAAGGAAGGGAGAGTACAGAAGAAAAAAGAAAGAAAAATGGAAAAGAATTATTTGGACTGGAGAGATGGTTTAGGGTTAAAAGTGTGTGCTGCTCTTGCAGAGGTCATGAGTTCAGTTCTTCCAGGCACCCGCCTGTACCTCCAGCTCTTCTGGTCTCTCTAGGTATCTGCACTTGTGCATACACACGACATACATGAGCGCATACAGTTTGTCTAGAAAGAGTTAAGGGGTGGAGTTTGGGGGTGAACATAATAAAAATTTCACTGTTTGAAACCCTCAAAGGATTAAGAAAATATTTTAGAAATAAGTGGGTAAAATAAGAAAATTTAAATGCAATAAATAAAGTGACAGGCGGGAATCTTTTTTTTTTCTCCACATGTAAAAGGTGAGTAATCTAGAGCCCAAATGGCCTCTGGGAAGCCAAATTCCAAATTCCTTCTTTTTGTTCATTCTCAGCACACACAAACCCTCAAGGTTTCTTCATAGTCCAAGATCTGGCATTGTGTCTCATTATGAGTTGTTTGTTTGTTTGGTTTGGTTTTTTGAGACAGGGTTTCTCTGTGTATCTGCCTTAGCTGTCCTGGAACCACTCTGTAGACTAGGCTGGCCTCGAACTCACAGGAAGCCTTTGCCTCCCAAGTGCTGGGATTAAAGGTGTGTGCCACCATCTCCAGGCTCATTCTCATTTTTAAAGAAAGAAGATGTATAGGAGAAGACCAGGGAAGATGCGGGAGAGAAAGGCAGTATTTGTTATCTTCCTTTCTACCCTCCCCTTCTCGGACCTTCTTATAGCTGCCTCATTGGTCAGAACGTGGTGATTCACTAAGGAGGTTAAGAAATAAATAATAGCATGACAGAGAGAGACACACACACTGAATTTGAACTAGTAATGTGAGCTTGAATGCTGGTGTGGAGCGGGGTGGACTGTGAGTCTTGCCAAGCAGCTAGCAACCTGCCACAGTTCCAGGACTGATCTAGAGAGAACAATGTGAACTCTGTACAAAGACCTGAACTATTGATAGCTGAAGCCTGTTGGCTGGGGCACAGTGCTGAGCTCTCAGGCTGGCTTCTGGTTGCCTAGCTGTGGGACCTCCCTTCTCTCTCTCACCATCCTCAGGGCTAATACTGAGGGTGGGACTCCCAGGACAGCTGTGGGGAAATGCACCTGAATACAAGACTCATTTCTTTGCACCTATCCAACAACAACAGACCACAGAACCTCGTGTGTGCTGTGCAGTGCCTGCCACTGAAGAGTCGGAGATCCGTTAGTTAAAGAACTGCTTCTTCACATTCAGAATAATCTTCGAAATGCCTGGGAAGCCATCTTTTAGGAAAGACTGTGTTAGCTGGGCATAGTAATGTACACCTTTAATACCAGCATTCAGGGAAGGAAAAGGTAGGCAGATCCTTGTGAGTTCAAGTCCAGCCTGGTCTACATGGCCAACTCTAAACCTGCCAAAGCAACATTGTGAAACCCTGTCTCAAAGGAAAAAAAAAAAAAAAAAAAAAAAAACAACAGGAAAACTGTTAACTTCTGTTACGGGGTGGGTACAAATGAATGGGATATAGAGACCAACACAGGCAGGGATTCTCAGCCATGCTGTCAAGATGGACAGAGGAGTCAGCTGTGCTCAGAAAGAAGCTGGAACATGAGGAGGTAGGAATCTGTAGATATATATATATATCATGTACTCGGAACACTGACCCTCAGGCAGAGGATCTGTTTTCTAAGCCTTCTCTGCCCAGTGCTATTGTTTATTCTACACATCTGAAATCAAACAGATTTGGGTTGAGGTCCTAGCTGCACTATCTCACAATGGGAGCTGAGGCCAGGGGTTCACCTCACTTCTCTCTAACATCCCACCTGTCACCATCCTTGGCCATCACTGGCAAGGGACAGGACAAGATGAGCGTACAAATGTCTCCAACACAGCAAGTGGCTGCTCAAGAAGGACAAGGGTAGTTCCTGTGTTGGTGGTGCTTTGGGCAAAGAAACAGGTGTTCCTGGGAGACAGGAGACAAGTCACTCCTCAGGAAGGACAGATGACCACGCCATGTGGCTCTGTGGCCTCCTGTGAGCCCCATGATGGGCTGTGCTGGTTTTACTATCCTGGAATATGAGGAAATGGCCCTCATCCGCTGAGGGTTGTGTTTGAGATGGATGTGGGCAGTCGGCTTGGCAAGGTCACTCGTCACTGGCTGCATAGATCCACCAGGCCAGGCTGTTGGGCTGCCCTTCACCTACAGCCTTCTTCCGTTCAGAAGGCCGTCTTGAGGATGGTGGTCTCATGCCATGGCAATGTCTTTAAACTGTGTCACATTATGGGATGGCCAGTCCCATCTACACTTTCACTTTCTGTTACGTTCTGGCCTCACTCAGCGAGGGCTATCTGGTCTCCCACTTCCCCTACGCCACCACTCTCGCAGGGAGGCCTCCGCCCCCGCCCCCCACCTGTGTGAAATCTGGCCTCACTCTCCTGCAACAGTCAAGGCCACCTGGATGGTGTACCCTCCCATGATGATTTCGGTTCCTCAAAAGTGTCATGGTGAAGTTCATCCTCCTTTTTCTTCTTCCTTCAGGCCTCAGCTTTATGGCTCCCTCTTTGACCTTACCCTCCAGCTCCCTTCAGGTTCAGTTCATTGCTGAGAGTTCTGCAGCCCGTGACTCCCCCTTCCCCAAATTCCAGCTCAAATCATGGATGAAATTGTTTGGTCTATGCCTTTTTCCCTCGCAATAAATTGCACAAAGCCAGGGCCTCTCTTTCGAGTTCTGCACATCATCCCAGCATAGAGCTAAACAGAGCAGGGGTAGGAATGACCTACTGCTGCTGCTTGCATTGCTTGGGCCCCAGAATCCTGACTAGAGGTGACAAGGGGATAAAGAGAAAACAAACACAGACATGCAGACAAGTTAAGGTCAGGTGGACTAGGCTCTCTGCTGCAGAAGCCACAGCACCCTGGAAGCTCAGCAGTTGAGCAGGGAGGCAGGGTTATTAGAAAGATTTGAGCATGCAGAGGTTATAGTACACAGCCGAGTCCAGGAGGCTGATCTAGCTAACCTCAGGAAGAACCATGTCTGTGGGACATTTTCTGCACACACTATCAGCATTCACACTAGATCCTGAGGAAGGCTCTGCCATCCATCTGAGCCCCACCGGGTGAGGGCTTCCACACTCCCACAGTCATGTCTGTGTCAACAACATGAATTCACTCAGGACTTCACTCACTCCCTACAACCTCTCTAAGTCCATCCTACTTTCTCTGCTTTACCACGCACCCACCTCCTACCAGATCCTCAACAAACACCAGCATCAACACATTGGTCTCGCACTATTTCTTTATTGCTACTATGCATCCCAGGCTAAGCTTCTCTCCTGCCCGGCCCACCAGAGTCAGTTACCCAGAGAACAAGGCCAGCTGTCTGTGCTTGGAGAGGCCTAGTAGGTAATGCTAATGCACCTTCAAGTTCAAGGACCACAGAGCCAGAAAACCCCATGTCTTTAGAATAGAAAAAATGGGAGGCAAAGTGTTTCCTTTAGCTCCAGAATTCTCCAGAAATACACCCAATATGGGGGCCTCCCATCAAGATATGGTTTTTTTTTAGAATAAGCATGACATATATTTTTAAATAAAGCTCATTTTGTTCAAAAGCAAACACAATCAAAATGATACACTGCTTTAAATTCTACTAATTAGGATATAAAAGGAAACATCTTGTTTTCAGTTGAACTTGTTACCCAGTTACAAACTCCCTAAATGTTAATTTGTGGTACACACAGAAAGCCTTAACATGCAGTAGCCCCTGGGATGATGCCTCTATCTGAAAAACCGAAGTAAATATTATTTACTTAATCTTTGCTTAAACTAGAAAAATCACTAAGTTTGGGTGTTCAAATCTTTTCAAAATATAAACTTAAATTTGCTGTTACTCATCTAAGAATGACATCTGTTAGGTGGATTTAACTACAGTTCCATATTCACAGGAAATAGAATTAAGGATTGCTGTTCAAGATATGTTAATTCTTTACTCCAACACACTGCACCTGTTGCGCAGAGTTGGGAGACAGAATGGTTGATAAGTTATCCATCTCTTTGACTTATTCCACTGAAAGGGGGAGCCATGCTATGTGTGTTTCCGAGCTCTCTTCAAACCTACCTGAGTTTGAATATGGGCTCCTTCATTCTTTGCAAGAATAGAAAAGAAGGTTAGCCAAGGTTTGGGAAAAAGGAATAAGACAAGTGTAGAGAAATTCAGGGTTTGTCTCTACCTACAGGAGGTGGTGGTCAGGGTGCACGGCCCCCACCTCTCCTCAAGGATCCTTCTGAAGGTGTTCCAAGCTGTGCGGGGAAGGACACAGAGTGGGGTGCTCCAGCAATAAGCACACATGTTTCATATTACATGCAGCATTCTTTGTGGGAGCTCCAGAAAAAAAAAATGGCATGGTCAACCACCCTTCTCAGAATGAAGGGACTGAGGAAAAAGGATTTTTTTTGGCTGCTGACTGTATCAAAAGTCAGGAACAAAGGGAAGATCCTGTGCCTTTTAAGAAAACAAAGTTTGCATTTGGGATTTTAACTTTAAGTCTGGAGGGAGGGCAAGAAGATCAGTGGATACCTGAAGAGCCCACCTGGGACTCAAGACAATGGTAGGAAGTACAGCAGCTCCCCCAGCTCCCTGGTGTCTTTGCTCGGTGATATCAAGGGACCCACCTGCCACACTGAGCCTCCATCCCCTCATCCTTACCTCAAACATCACAGGGCAGACCATATGCAGACACGGTAAAGTGGCATCTCCAGGCAGGCCTGGTAAAGCACACTAGAGAAAAGGGAAACTTGGTATATGTAAAAAAAAAAAAAGTCAAAGAGAAATAGTCTTCAAAAACCAGCTAGCAGCATCATACAGTGGGAAGACTATGGTTAAAGTCTTAAGGGATTAGCTACGAAGACCACTTTTACCTCTTACTGGCTCTGTGGCCTCATGTAAATTATTTGGCTTCTCTGAAACTTGACTTTTCTCATCTGCAAAATATAGGGGTGAAAGTACCGCCTCCTCCCATGAGATAGGGTAAGGACCAATCCTGATGCTCTTTTTCAATAGCCTTGGTACAAAGATGGAACAAGATGCAAGTAAACAGCTCCACCCACCCACCTGGGCTCACAGACTCTGAGCATCAACACTACCCTGCCTTTCCCAGTCTTGGAGGCTGCCTCCTTCAGTTTGACAAAGTCTGACAGCCCTTCACCATGGTTCCATCAGTGTGCAAAGCCATCTGCTTGCCCTTTGCAAAGGCAACTTCCCCTTTTCTTCTAGATTCAGCTAAGTAAACCGAGCCAAGAGTTCACCTTGAAGCAGCACAGCCCTAGAACGCCTCAGGCAGACACAGGGGAAAGTGTCACCACTGTCCTCTGGTTTATTCCCTTGTAGGTCTCTTCCTCAGTCTCCAGGTCCCCAGAAGCCACTTCCGGTTTCCATTTCTTACCAGTTAAGCTCCTTAGGGAGGGAGGGAAGAGTTTTTCACCCTAGCAAAACACAGCAGGTATCGGTGAGGGATCTGACCAGGGCAGGGGAGCAGAAACTATCATTTGTAGCCCATTTCCCACTCTCCAGGCTCCTCCTGGGCACAACTTTCAAATGTCATTATGAGTGCCACTTTTCTGGGGCCCTCCTCTGACTCCTTCAAGATTCAGTGACATGCTACTGTCTCTTGCAATCTCTGTTTCTTCTTTCGTACATTTTTTTTCTCACTGCTGGGCATCACACTAAGGACCTCAAGCCCAGGAAAAGCACTCCACCCCTGAGTTACACTCCCAGCCCCAAGAAGGTATTTAGTGTCTTTCTTCCCTGGTAAGTTTCATTGGGGGGAGCACAATCAAATATTTCATTTTTAAATATTTCCTTAGCTCCTATCACAGTGCCTGACACAGAGAAGCAGCTTAATAGGTGAATGTTGAATGAATGGGTGGATGAATGAATGAATGAACCAGTCTCAAGGCTTTCTGCATGGTAAAGACAACACCTTCTGGATTTTGCAAAGAAGGTGCCTCTTATAGGCTACTGTTGTCTTGCACGAGACTGTGAAAGGCAAAATGCACTTCCCAAGGCAACACAAATAGTGGCTGGGTCAAGATTTGAACCTAGGTTATCATTGGGCCTCACTGTTTTTGATTTATTTTATGGTCAGTCTAGAAACACTGTTGACAAAGGCAATTTTTCCAAAATAAAGAAGTGGAATGTGTCGGCCCATAATTCCTTCCCCTCACCCAACACAGCCTGCTCTGTGCTGAGCAAGATTCCGGAGAGCCCTGTGCAACCCACGCAAGGCAGAGGGACAGAGACAGGGGCTGCCCTTGTCCTTCTGCTGCCTCTGACTGGCTCCTCCGTGGAGCCCCTCCCAGCCTGTCCCCACTAAGGCAATACTTGGATAAAAGTCTAGGAACAAAGCCCACATTTTCCTGCCCCAAGTGGAGAGGCCACTGCTAGAGAAACAATGGCCTTGCTGCGGATCAAAGGAGCTGGGCCCAAGCCTGGGACAAAAGCTTAGCTTGACAGGAATGACAACCTGCCCTGCCCCTCCTTTCACGGAGGTCTAGGGAGCGTCCTGTGGAGGCCCAGCCCACCTTCGCAGTGCACCTCCCAGCCTCTGGTTTCTTCCCCGGGAACACTCAGAGAACCGCTTAAGGGCCTGGGTCCCTGGGCCTCCTCCTTTTTCACGCTAGGCTACTGCCCTTCCCTCACTGTCTCCACTAAGGCCTCTGCCTAGGCTTCATTCAACGTTTGTGCCTCCAAGTGGCTTCCCTTCCACTCTCGTTGACCTTTCAGCTGGGTTTCATCACAGGCCACTGTGCCCATGCATGGAACTGTCTCCTACCCTGATCACAGCATTAATCACTCCAAATTCGCTATCGCTGCTGGGTTTAGAGCCTGCCGGTTCCCTAGACTGGGACACTTTCACAACCTTGTGAGTGTATTGCCTAACTCAAGATGCTCAATGAAGCCGGCAATGAATGGCAGGGAGGAGGCTTTTCAAAAGCTGGAAATGGGCTTGGCTGTCCCTCCCTCTATATGAACCCAAACTGCCTGGTCTCTCCAGTTCTTTCATTTTAATTTTATCAAACTCATACTTTTTAAAAATGCCACCTTGGTGCTGGGAAAGCAATGACAGTCAAAACAATAGAATGAGCTTCACTGGTGAGAGATGCAGAGACAGAAGCTAACCAACTGTGTGATTTAAGTTATGGTGCACATTGTGAGACAAAAAGCAAGTGGCAGAGCAAAGAACACGCCCCTGGACTGGAAAGATGGGTCGGTGGTTAAGAATGAGTGCACTCCTCTTCCAGAGGACAGGAATTTGGTTCTCAGCACCATGTTCGGCAGCTGACAACCACCTGGAACTCTAGATCCATAGAGATCTGCCACCTCTCACCTCTGCAGACACCCGTGCATGCATGCACACACGCAAAATTAAATAAAATAAAGCCTTTTTAAGATGTAAAAAGAGTGTGTACCAATATTTATGCCCAATATGTGCCAAGAGTCCACCAAGTACCAGGCAGCATCTGGAGCTGGGGATGAACTAAGTACCTTCCATGCAGCTAACCTATCCTGTAATGGCAGGCGCTGGTTCAGACTGAGAAGACCTTCCTTCCAGAGGAAGAAGTGACTGAGCCACCATCTAAGGAATGAGTCGCGTTTAGGGAGGATGAAGCAGAGTGTAGGAAGGCTGAAATAGGGAAGGACTGGTAACATTGAACGGGGTGGGGGTGGGACTGCTTGTCGGTAAGCAGGGAAGTTCATCAAAATGTCACGGAGAACCTGAGAGCTAGTAGGATCATCCAGGACTAGCACTCACAGGCTGGGAGAGACTTAGTATTTTGCCCCCACTCCTCCCCATCCTTGTGGTAAATGGAAACAAACATGTTTCTCTGCTTCCTTAGTTTCGGTCCCATACTGTCCTGATAGATTAGAAAAACCCATCTGAAACACGGGCAATGGTGGCGCACACCTTTAATCCCAGTACTTAAGAGACAGAGGCAGGCAGATCTCTGTGAGTTCAAGGCCAGCCTGGGCTATACAGAGAAACCCTGCCTCAAAAAACTAAATAAATAAATAATAAGGAAGGAAGGAAGGAAGGAAGGAAGGAAGGAAGGAAGGAAGGAAGGAAGGAAGGGGAGAGGGGAAGAGAGAGAGAGAGAGAGAGAGAGAGAGAGAGAGAGAGAGCCTTCTTCAGCTGGAAGACAAGTCCTGGAATTAGAGCATCAAGCATGGCAGGATACAGTCTCTAAGAGCTTTGTCTGCAGCTTCCTGCGAAGGGACTGACATCAGCCACAACAAAAATAAGGCACATTGTGTTCATTCAACAAGCATTTGTAGTTTGTCAAGCACACTCACTGAGTGGGCTCACTTCTTGGAACAAAGTTCAAGCCCCAGGTTTCAGAGTCCTTGAGAGCTGTGCTCTAATAGGTCTTATTAACTATTATCCTTGGGCTAGCTGGTGGACCTCCACTAGCCAGTGCTTTCTCTTTGTCACTAGAAGCCAGGGCTTTCTGCCATCGAGGTTACTGGTAGAACTGTGTATTCTAAGGTTGCCATAGCCATGTGCTACAGCCTGGTGATTTAAGTAACAGAAATAACAACAACCTCATGACCCTAGAGGCTGGAAGACTGTGATCAAGGTGGACTGCCACACACACACACACACACATACACACATGCGCGCACTGTGGCTTTGGTTGTTTTGTTGTTGTTGCTTTGGGTTTTTTGTTGTTGTTATTTTGCTGGGGATTTTTTTGTTTATTTTTGAGACAGGATCTTCTTGAGTAGCACTGGATGGTTGAGAATTTGCTAGTAGACCAGACAGACCTTGAACTTACAGAGATCCTCCTGCCTCTGCCTCCTGAGTGCTGGCACTAATGGCAAGAGCCAGTCACCCTTTCTTACAAGTCACCAGTCACACTGAATTAGGGACAACTGCTGAAATCCTGGGGGTTAGCCCCTTCATACAGGCGTTAGAGTAGTGGCTCTCAGCCTTCTTAATGCTGTGATCCTTTAATGCACTTCTTCGAGTTGTGGTGACCCCCGGCCATAAAATGATGGTTGTTGCTTCTTCATAACTGTAATTTTGCTACTGTAATGACCATAATGCAAATATCTGATATGCAGGATAGCTGATATGTGACCCCTGTGAAAGTGTCATTCGACCCCCCAGGGGGTCATGACCCACAGGTTGAGAGCTACTGATTTAGAGGCTACATCATCTGCCTCCAACAGATGGAAGTGTCCATCAAAACCTCCACAGGGGCTGGCGCACAGCAGACCCTGGACAGATAGTGAACCTTGTCTTTGACACCAATACCATGGGAAGGAACTCGGGACTTAGTGGCACCAGCTCTTTTTTTTTTGGAGGGGGGGGTGTCAAGACAGGATTTTCTCTGTAGCTTTGGAGCCTGTCCTGGAACACCAGTTCTTGCCGTAGGCTGAACTCTTTGCTTCTAAGCCCTCCCTTGCTGCCAGAATGACCCTGGCATGATAGTGGTGCTCTCCTTCTCCCTAATAACCAAGGGCTTGTTGGACCCCGTAAACCCTGTGCTCCTTTAGTCTAAGTACTAATGTAAGTTGCTAAATCTGCCATGCCAGGAACAGCCCGAGAAAGAAGCAAAGACCTGGCAATTTTCAGAACCACTTGCTCTCCGGGAACTTAGCTTCTTCCTACCATTTCTGCTGAAGAGGTAGTTGGTACAAGGCTAGGACATTCTCCTTCCCAACCCTTCCCCTACTGCCCTTTGGAAAGGGGTACCAGCAGCTGTCTGAGAGGAAGT